TTTCTTTCTTTCTTTCTTTCTTTCTTTCTTTCTTTCTTTCTTTCTTTTCCTTCCTTCCTTTCAGTTTTCTTGTACAAAATGACTAATATGGAAATGTATTACATGATTGCACACATACAAACTATCTCAGATTGTTTACTGTCTCAGTAAAAAGAGAAGGAAGGATAGAATTTGGAATTCAAAACTTAAAAAAATAACAAATGTTTAAAATTATTTTTACAAGTATTTGGGGAAAAATAAAATATTATCAAAATCCAAACAAAAAAGAAAGAAAGAAAGGTAGGGCAAACTAAGAATAGATGTTTCACATAGCAGAAAGAACAACGGCCTTGGAGAAAGTTCCAGGTCTACTAGTCACCAGCTGTATAACCATTGGCAAGCTATAATATCTCTGAAATTCAGTTTTAGCATCTCTAAAATGGGGATTGATAAAAATGATCTGCCCGGTGTAAGTCATGGGATTGTTCTTAGGATCAAAGGGGAATGCTTATAAAATGTTTTATAAACCAAAATGCTTCAGATGGGAGGCATTACAATCGTCATTATTAATATGATGGCTGGTTTTCTCAGTAATATCGAAACTTTGAAGGTTCAGAAATAGAAACTATCAGTTGAGGTTCCCTTCAAATAGAACTCCAAAGATAGTAGTTGCTCAACTTCCACATGGACCTCTCAGGTTGTTCAGACTGTTGCTACTATGTATGTGGCTGTTCTACCAACAAAAAAAAATTGAGGGTAAAAAATTAAGGAAACAGTAGTGCAGAAAGACTCTTGAATTTCAAGTCACAGGAGCTGAGTTTGAATTCAAGCTATACTACTTATGACCTGTGTTACCTTGGGCAAGTTAAACTCAGTTTTCTCACTGTAAAAATAAGGGTGTTGGAATAGATGACTTCTTAAGTCCTTTCTAGTTCTCAGTCTATGATCCTATGATCCTTTAAGGGACATGCCGGTCTGTAGCTGTTATTCCTTTAACAGATGAAATTTAAGGAGTTGAGGAGTGAGTAAAGAAGTGTTTTAGCTTTCTAGGTGCCTTAAGAGGTAACCATTTTTGAAGAAGGAAAACTTACCTATCTAGTATTTCAGGTTTTTAATGACTTAGTATTTTTTTCACAAGTCTAACTCTCTAAGTACCTAATTTACTGTTCAACACTATCTCAGGAACCCCAGAGGACACAGCTTCATTTGTTTAAGGCAGATGTTTTTGAGAAAATCTAAGGAACTGTCATTTACTCAAGACCTCAATAACCAACTTGAATTTTAACTTGTTCATTGTCATTGTTTGACAGAAAATGACTCCTTTTAAAACTTCCCTGCTGTGTGTCAATGGATTGGTCAATCAGTCAATTTTCATCACTTAACTCTTAGTCTGCCTCCATGACACTGAAACACTGAGCAGGTGCAGATGAGAAAACTCCAGGGAGTTTTTCTAAAAACTAGAGGGAGTGCACTGTTATTGCACAATCCCCTTGCCCATAAGCATAAACTCTTATTCTCAATACTAGAAATTAAAAAAAAAAGCATTGCATTAATGGACCTTTTTTCTTTTTTAACAAACCTAATATTTTATAACTCTTATGACCAGTAAGATGTAAACATGATTTGGTCAGGTTATTGACATATTAGCAGAGTAAAAGATATAAAAAGAAGAAAACAGAGATTGCCTTACCTTTTTAAAAATAACACGAAGTATAGAAATCGTGGCATAAACAGGTAAACTTGTTCTTCCAGAATTGCATTCATTATCTTATTGACTACATAATCTGGCTCTAGAATTGGCAACAGGAGAGGATTTCTGGAAAACAGAAACAGTAAGTCAGTCTAACATAAGAATTAGTCAAGTTAGATTAGAGACAGATTATCTTTTATGTTAGATTAAGAAAAGAATCCTTGTTAATGGTAAAAACAACAACAACAACAACAACAACAACAACAACTAGCATTTATATAGTACTTACTATGTGTCAGGCACTGTGCTAAGTGCTTTACCAATATTATCTCATTGAATTCTTAGAACAACAAAGGTTAAGTGACTTGCCCAAGGTCACACAGCTAGTAAGTGTCTTTATGATTCTCTGCCCAGCACTCTTTTCACTGCACTACTTAGCTATCTCATTACCTTAGCAACTTATTAAGATACCAGCCATGTACTTATTTCATGTACTTGGTCCGAGTATCTCCCTTCAAAATGATATTCCTAAAACTCAGATCAGACCATATCAGTCCCCCGTTCATTGTCAAGTGGCTCCCTATTGCCTCTACTATCAAATACAAACTTCTGTTTGACATCTGAAGACTTTTACAATCTAACTCCAAATTACATTCCTAAGCTTATCATACATTACTCCCCTTTGTACTTATTGTAGTCTGGCCAAATTGACCTTTTCACTGTTTCTCACACGACACTCAACATTTGTTGTTGCTGTTCAGTTGTTTTCAGTTGAGTCTGATTCTTTGTGACCCCATTTGGGGTTTTCTTGGCCAAGATATTGGAGTGGTTTGCTGTTTCCTTCTCCGGCTCATTTTACAGATGAAGAACTGAAGCAAACAGGGTTAAATGACTTGCGCAGGATCTGAGGCTGTTTTTGAACTCTGGAAGATGAGTCTTTCTCCATGTCTATTAATTAGGCCTTTGTACAGGCTGTTTCCCCTGCCTGGTATCTACTCCCTTTTTAATTGCTGCTTTAGTTCCTTTCAACCTTCAGCTCAAGCGCTAGCTCCTAAGAGAAGCCTTGCTACATCCCTCCCTCCAGCAGCTGGAACCTCCTCACCAATCTACAAATTACTTTGTATTTACTTGTATAGATGTTATCTTCTTGATAAAATACAAGTTCCTTGGGAGCAGGCACTGCATAGTTTTGTGGTTGACTACCTGGCACTCAGCACAGTGTTTGACACATAGCGGATACTTCATAGATGTTTGTTGGTAAGTAGATATCCCCATCTCTTGCATTTATTTGCTTATTCTCTACAAAACTGTGATAAAACAGGTAGAATTTGAAATGGAAAAATAAAAATTCTAGGTCAATAGCCAGATCTTGGTAAATAAGAAAATAAAATCAGTCTTAAGTCGGTGATTCAGATTCTTTAACTCAGGGTGGCTAAAATTGTTAACTGAAAGGGATGTCTGCTACTTCCATGGACCTGACAATTGAATATGTATGCTATCCTTATTGAGTTAATTTAATAAGCATTTATGAAGCACCACCTACATGCCTGGGACTGTGCTATGTCCTGGATATTCAGAAACAAAAATGAAATCGCTTATGCACTCAAGGAGTTTTAATTCTGTTGAGGGAAGGATGAAATAACATGCACAAAGAAGAAAAAATGCCAAACTAATTGTTAATAGGGAGTAGGGCACTAGCAAATGAGAAGAATCAGGACAGGCACACATCCAAGGTTGCCATCTGTTGAGCTAAGCCATAAAGGAATCTAGATAGAGGTGAAGAGGGAGTAGATTCCAGGTATGGGGGAGAGTTGGTGAAAAGTCATAGAGACAAGAGAGGCAATGTCATGTACAGGGAACAACAAATGAGCCAGTTTAGCTTAAGCTGAATGTGCGAAGTGAAGTAACATATGATAAGCCGGGGAAGTTTGATGGGACCCAGGTTGTGAAGGACTTTCGAAGCAAACGATTCTTATTTTATCCTAATGACAACAGAGAGTGTCTGAGGATTCTTGGATGGTGGAGTGATATGGTCAGATCTATGTTTTAGAAATATCACTTCAGCAGCTATCTGGAGGATGGATCAGACAGGGAGACCAATTAGGAGGCTATTGTAATAGTCTCGGTGATAGTCAATGAGGATCTGAACTAAGGTGGAAGCTTTAAGTTAAGGAAATAGTGGTGAGAGATATGAAGGAAGAACTGAGAAGACTTGGTAACTGACCTGATAATACATGGAGAGAGGAAAAGTGAGTAGTTTAGGATGATTCTGAGTTTTTGCACCAAGGTGATTGGAAGGATGGTGGTGGTGTCCTTGACCAAAATAGGTAATTCAGAAGAAGTATAAATTGGTAGAAGGAGGAAGGAAGAGAAGATAATGATTTATGTTGAGTTGAGATGCCTTTAAGACATCTAGTTCAAAATAGGCAGTTGGTGATGTAGGACTGGATTTCAGGACAGATACTCAGACTGGATCTATAGATCTGGAAGTATTTGCGTAGAGATAACTGAACTCATGGGAGTGAATGGCATCACCAAGTGAGAGGGTGAAGAAAGAGAAAAGTACTCTTGTGTCAGTGGGAGTAGGAAGTAGAAGGTAGGGTGGAATGCTGAGATGGAAATAAGAGGATGGGATGCCATGAAAGTCCAATGAGGATATGAACTGAAATATTTGTAGCAGCTCATTCTGTAGTGGCAAAGAACTGGAAACTAAGGGGATATCTCTAAATTGGCAAATGGCTGAACAAATTATGGCATATGAATGTTATGGAAATCTATTATGTCACAAGAAATGAGGAAAAGAATGGTTTCAGATAAACCTGGGAACTGAAGAAGAGTAAAGTGAGCAGAACCAGTAGAACAATTTATATAGTAACAACATTGTAAAGAAAAAGAAAACTTTAAAGGACCTGAGAACTCTGATCAATGCAATGATCATCCATGATTCTAGAGGACTGATTAAGAGATATTCTAACCACCTCCTGATAGAGAGGTGATAGTACAGAATGAGATTTTTTTTTTGACATGGACAATATAGAATTTGTTTTGCTTGGTTATGCATATTTGTTCTAAGTGTTTTTCTTTTTATTTTCTTTTTCCAGTGTGTGTGTGTGTGTGTGTGTGTGTGTGTGTGTGTGTGTATGTGTGTGTGGGAGGATGGTGGTGGTGAGAGTGAGAGATGGAAAAGAGACTTTTTAAAAATTTAAAATAAAATAAAATTTTAAAAAAGAGTACAGAAAAAAGGAACAGTTAAGTAAAGAGCTACCAAGAATTACAGAAGTCCCAATGGATAATTGACAGCTGAAAACCTCTTCTCTAAGGCTTAAACATTACATTTCATAGAGATTCATAATCTTAGAGATAGAAGGGACCTAAGACGTCATCTAGTGTAGCTTACTACTCAATGCATGAATCATCTCTATAATATTCTTGACAGATGTTCCTCTAGTTGCCATTTGAAAACTTTCAGTAAGGCAATTCACAACCTCACAAGGAAACCACTTCCATTATTGGGAAGTTCTAATGGCTAGAGAATTCTTTCTCATATTGAGCTTAAATCACTCTACAGCTTTTAAACACTCATCTTAGTACTGCCCTCTAGAACTCTGCAGAACATGTAATCTGTTTTATGTTGATATGACAGTAATTCAAAGACAGCTGTCATGTCTCCTTCAACATTGTCTGTTTCTAGGCTAACCATCTCCAGTGCCTTCAGTGGATCCTCCTACGCAGTGGAAAAAAAAGGACACTGGCTTTGGAGTCAGAGGGTCTGGGTTCAAATCTTGCTTCTTTTGCTTATTATCTGTATGACACTGGGCAAGTCACCTCTCTGCTCTGTGCTTCACTTTGCTCATCTACAAAAGGAGAAGGTTGTTCTAGATGACCATGAAGGTCCCTCTCAGCTCTAGATCTATGATGGTATGGTCCTAATTATAGAATCTAGATTGGTTCCAGTTTGCTGAAGTCCATCATAAAATATAGCATGTAGAATTTTAAGCAATAACCTGTACACATAGAGGCAGTCTTGAAGTCAGGAAGACCTGGGTTCAAAAATTTGATCTCTGAAACATACTTGTTTTGTGACTCTGTGTATGTCCCTTAATGTCTCAGTCCCTAAGACTATAACTTGTAATATCATTGTCAGTTGGCATTGGTAGAGTGAGTTTCCCACTTGGAACTTCCCATGTCAATGAAACTTCAGGACAAGACAAAAATACAAATGGAATTCAGTGCACAGCATCATAGGAATACTGCCTTTCTTGTTCTAGAAGTTAAGAAGGCACTAGTTTTTATGGCAGCCAGATCAAATTACTTGACTCATACTGAACATCAGGATTAAAAAGAAAAAGAAAGAGAGAAAGAAAGAAAGGAAGGAAGGAAGGAAGGAAGGGAGGAAGAAAGGAAGAAAGAAAAGAAAGCAAGACAAAAGTCAAATTTTCCTCAGGTTCTATCCCACCAGCAAGTCACCCAAGGCAACTCTAAACCATCACAAAAAGTCTACAAAAGCCAGAGTTGGGGAAGGAAAGAAGAAAGAGTGAGAAAGGAGAAACATTCCTAGACCAATTCCTCTTTATCTATAAAATTGAGAACTAATCATATTTTATTAGAAATTTCCTTCAAAATAAAAGTACTCACTCAGTAGTACAACCTTCAAACATTCCAGTTTTTATAAAAAATGGACAAACAATGGTTGATTTAATCCCAGTATATCCTTGGGCATACAGTTCTGAAAATATGGACTCAGCAAATCCAATGGCTGCAAATTTACTTGCACAATAATCTGTGAGAAGAAAACCCAACACAAATGCACTGAAAAGAACATTTTAAATTGCACAAAATAAAAGTTCACCTTAAATGTTAAAATTGACAGGGTGTGTTCTTTATTTTTCAAATGTCTTTATATCTAAGTTGTCACATTAATCAAGAGAATTAGCACTGTCTCCACTGGGGAAATCAGAGGGGATAGGGAAGAAGGAATACTGGCAAATGAAAAATAGCCTTTAAGTGAATGAATAAGGGATAGGATGCCTGCAGATTCAGGGATGGGAAAAGTGGCAGCAAACCTCTAGGATTATCCTACCAATCCTCCATCTTTGCTGGACTCCCTTAATCTACTGGCCCAGGCCATAAGTACCTTGTATTCTAAAGGGTCCATACCAAAATGGTGTCCTAGTAATATCAACCTCTGTCTCCTATCTTTTAAGGGATAATGATTGAACTTCTGATTTCAAGTCTTGATTTGACTTGATGGCTTCCTGTATGTTTTGTGACGGGGATAGCAATTGGACCGATGATTTCACAGATGTAGAGAACTTTCAGGTGAGGGAAGTCCTTCTACTACTGCAGGTGAGCACCTTCTTTGCAATATATAGACTCAGAGAGCTGCCAAAGCTATTGTTGTTGTTTGACCTTGATTTTTGAAAAGGACCAATGACATCACAGGGTGGATTTAAGTGAGGCAGAGCTGCACAAAGTCATCAACCTCATTCTCTCTTCTAGAGTCACTGTGGCAAGTCCAGTGGCAAGGCAAAAGTCAAGATGCAGTAGATGACCTTGGTGTCTTTGAAGTCTGACCAGGCTCTAAGCACTTGGCCTACTTCATCCATTGTCCTGACCATTGGAACAAATTGTTTTCATCCACCTGTTCTGCCAGGAGAGGTCTTCACATGCTTCGGGTAGACATCCCCCTAATTCACTGATGGATTTGAGGCCTGTCAGTTATCCTCCATCTGGTTTAGCCCATTTGCCAGGATGGTTTTACTGTGGTGTGGCCTCTGAACATGCAACAGCTTCCTGGAGCCACAGATGAGAGTTGGATAAAGGTGAACACCCAAAGTGGATAAGCAGCCCTGAAAAGGGCTTGGCTAGCCCTGCCTCCACAAGTGTGACTTGCCTAGGATAGCTTAGTCAGTCTGCGGCAGAGGCAAGATTTGAACCCAGATCTTTCTGCTCTAAGCTCACCTCTCCATTCACAAGCCATGCTGCCTTTCATTTCTTGTGCAGAATGTGTTATCTATGATCGTCTAACACTCTTGTGTATAGTCATGTTTCCCTTTCTTACAAATATGTGAAATCTCAATTCACTTGATGGAGAATGTTTCAAAGAGAAGAGCAGCTAAGGTGGTTTTCATAGCTTTTCTTTTCTTTTTGTTTTTCTTTCCTTTTGTGAGGCAATCTGGGTTAAGTGAATTTCCCAGGGTCACATAGCTGGTATGCATCAAGTTTCTGAAATCACATTTGAACTCTTGTTCTTCTGACTCTGGGGCCAGTCCACTATCCGCTGCCCTTCATAGCTTTTCTAAATGCTGCAGTTCTATTCCTTCAGAGTGAAAGGGGAATGTTTTTGCTTATAGAGTATGGCTGGAATGCAACTGGGGTGTATGGAGTGTTCAAAAAGACTAGCAACTTTGGTGCGAGGGATTACTGGGCCATTTTCAGGGCTGCTCATCCACCTTTGGTGCCCCCCTGATTCACCCAACTCTTACCTGTGGCTCCAAGAAGCTGTAGCATGTGCAGCAGCCCCATCCTGGTAAAACCATCTGGGCAGACAGGCTAAACCAGGTTGAGGGCAACCAACAGACCCCTCATCAGTGAGTTAGGGGGATGTCTACCCTAAGCATGTGAAAACTTTCCCTGGAGGAATGTGTGGATGAGAACAATTTGTTCCAATGGTCATGAAGGCAGCTGAAGCAAGCTCTGTGGAATGCTTAGAGCTTGGTTAGACATCAAAGACACCATGGTCATCTACTGCATCCCAGGCCATCGCCAGTCGTCCTAATTTTTGTCCTGCACTGGACTTTAATGACTCTAGAAGAGAGAATGAGATGGATGATTTTGTGCAACTCTCATTTAAATCCAATTTATGAGCATGTCGAGACATCACCCCAAGATGTCATGGGTCCTCTTTGAAGGACAAACAACCACAACATGGCTGGAATAGTACCTGGCAGAAGACTAGTGTTAGAATCATCAGGATTAGGAGCCATTTTGCTACTTGTGACCATGGACAGTAGGCAGAGAAAATGGAGGGAACTGTAACTGGCAGGAAGTAAAACATGAGGGGAATTGTTAGTTTTGCGGCATGCCAATGCTTGTATGTGGGTGTGAGAGTGGAAAGTACTGTATATTTGAGATTGAGAGCATTGGCACCTTGAAAGAAAGTCTTTAGCAAGAGAGGTGTGACTAGATAAACTGATGAAAAGGATCATTGCCAACTAGAGTAATGAGGCTAAAGAGAAAGGAGATGTAATAATAGAGGGTATGGAGAGCAGCTAGGACAGATGTAGTGGGAGCGAAATGGGGGCGGTCATAGTATGCATGTTCGAACTAGTAACATTTTTGATAGCCTGGAAGGTTTGGGAAAAAACTCTTTGTGACTATACTAGAATGAGACAGTAGAGGCATGTATTACAGGTGATGGTATTATAAAGTTATCTAAATATCAAGTTATTTAATAATTTATCATTTAATGTAACTACAGAATTAATGAGTTCACTGAAACCTACTGTGCACAATAATATGGTATACTTGGAAGGTGCCTTAGTGACAGGAGGACCTCTTTTCCTTTTACTCTTCTCCCTACTGAGCCAAGGGTCCTTAACCTAGAGTCCAAGGACCTGTGTGTAGATTTTAGGGGGTCAGTGAACTTGGTTTACAATATTTTGATAACTACATTTCAATATATTTGCTTTCTTTTGCAATCCTATGTATTCTATTTGATGCATTTAAAAACTTTTTTTTCTGAGAAGGTATCCATAGGATTCACCGGATTGCTAACTGGGGTCTATGATGCAAAAAAGTTTAAGAATCTCTGCTTTATAGGGATGTAGGCCCGAAGTATAGACCTACTTTCCTGAGGTTCCTGAGATATTTGTAACACAGTACTAGTAAGGCAGAGATTATTAGGCCACTTGGGATGGGGAATTCCTGCTACCGTTATTACAGCGAGGGACCAATGAATAAAATTTCAGATTAATATTTATTCTGTGATATCAATATAGTTTAATATTCAGTAGACCGTTTATTTATTTGTTGTGTGGTCATTTGTTCATTTATTTCTTTCTTTAGGGGAAGGGAGGAAGGAAGATATTGTGGTTTATTTATTTATTTAGGGAAATGGAGAAAGGAAGATACTGTGTTTGTGGTAAACTTTATAGTTCATTAAAAAACAAAACAAAACACCTTCCTTAACAAATTTTCACATATATGATGGGTTAACAATTTCAAGCAGATCTCTGGAGACTGACTAGAGACTCACAGAATCTTAAGAGTCTGAAAGGACACCCCAAAGTTATGTAATTCAATCTGCAGTTGGACTAGAACCACTTCTGCCATATACTCAACAAGCGGTCATTTGGTCTTTGTGAAGAGAACCACAACACTTTTGGATAGCTATAATTATTAGGAAATTTTACCAATTGTAAAAACACAAAACTGTATGGGCCATGCTTCAGTTTCTTGTCAAGGCAATCGTGAGAAATAAAGACTAATCCAGGCTATACATTTCAGTTTTATATAAACATATCTAATAGATGTTATTTGTGTCTACTTGCCAGTTGGCAGCTTGAAGAATTAGGAATAGAGTTCTAATTCAAATTTTGCTACAGACTTATTTCTTAATTTGCCTTCCTTGTGAAATTAGGTCAATACTTTACACAAGGCTATCATGCAACTCCAAGCTAAAGTTTGTAAAGGATAATGCGTTGCAAAATGTTACATTAACATTGATTGTTTAATCTATACAGTACTTACCCGATAGCTTACTTACACCAATTAATCCAGCTGAACTTGAAATGCAAACCAAGTGTCCATGGTTATTAGTAATCATAGCAGGAAGGAAGGCTTTGTAAGTCTATGAGGCATGATAAAATAAAATATCAAGAATGTTTAGTTAAATACAGTATTTCTTTTACTTCAGTTGGTCATGCTGCCATTATATAAAAAGATATCAAAAGGTGTTACTGAGTTTACAAAGGATAGATCAAAATACAGCCTCTTCCCTAGAAGAACTTAAGACTGAGAACAAAGAATGTCATACCAAATAAGTTTACATGTGTATACAAACATGTATGTATATAACATACATAATATACATACATACATATATGTATATATCTATATCTATATATATGTACACACACACACACAAATGGACCACCCCATTAGTAAACTGAGAAAGAGAATTTAAAGTACCAAAAAAAAAATTTAAGGCCTAAAAAATAGTAATAATACCTATTTTTTAAAAAATCAAATTGAAGATATTACATCCAGAAATATTGAGTTAATGATATTTATGAACTTTAACAATAAACTTTCATTTTTAGTTCAATATGTTAATGTAAATGTCTTTTTATTAATCTCTTCTCTACACTTGGGCAGGTTCAATCTGCAAATAAGTTAGTTTCCCTCATGAAGCAATCACATCATTAATTATGGATGTTCTAATCATAATAAAATTACAAATTTCAACCTAGTAACATCTTAGTGTGAGAAGATTTTCTGGCAAGGGTTAGCTGAATTGAGTCTTAAAGACAGTAAGATGATATGGTTCAGGGAATAGTATGAAGAGGGCAACTTTTGAATGAAATCTTAGAAAAGAAGGAATCTTAAAAAGGTACTTAGAGGTCATTTAGTCTAAACTCTTTATTTTTACAGGTGAGGAAACTGAGGCCAAAAGAGGTTATATAATTTACCTAAAGTCATACTATATTTATGAAGGGTCAGGATTATGATTGATATCTCCTGACTCCAGAGTTCTTTCCATTATACTTATCTATTGTATCATATTGTTATCTAGGTGAACAGAAAGATGAGAAAAGGTGGGGAACCCAGAAAAGAAATCTCAGGTAGATAATATGGGAAAACTCTGTGCAAACTATAAAGTGCGATCCAAATATGATTTATGATTTTTATTGTTTTAAAAGTTTGTAAAGTACTATATTTATATACATATCTCTAGCTATCTATCAAATCTCATTTGAGCCCCACAACAATCTTGTGAAGTAAGCACTATTAGTATTTTATTAATGAGGAAATAGAGGCTGAACGTGGTAAAGTGACTTACCCAGGGTCATGTAACTTAGGAAGTGTCTGATGGCAGGGTTTGAACCCAGATCTTCCTGACTCTAAGACCAACATTCTACCACTATGTGATCTAGCTTTATAAAGGATAGAGGGATGACGACCTTTGACTGAGTGCAAGTCCTATCTTTGACACACCCTGGTTATATGACCCTTGGCAAGTCACTTAACCTCTCACTGCCCCAGGCAATTTTGTAAGATTACAAATTGTAAAGCATGCACCAACCTGCACAAGTAGAGTAATATTTTATCACTAAAAGTTCCCTGTGCCAATGAAATCATAGTTCAGGTCCAATGGTTATATACTAGTGAAATCATAGTTCTGGTCCAATGGTTCTATACCAGTGGGATCATAGTTCTGGTAAAAAAAAATTATCAAAGAGGTTTGAATGGTACCTGGGATGAGGTAATCCTATAATTTAGAACCAATCCTTGACTTGAAAAGTTATGCTACCTCAGAGAGTTTTGAAGTTATTTCAGAATGCCAGAAAATAAATCATTATTTATTTAAAACAACTTGAGTAATCTAATTTACAAAAGTGAGCTTGAATGCTAAAATAATTTTGTAGACACTGTGAAAACACAAAGAAAATCACCCAGATATGTGCTTTGGAGTTCACATCAAATGACTTTTCCACACATTCATCTGGAATCTCAAGGAACTGTTTTCCTGTTACAACTCCAGCATTATTAATGAGGATGGTGACATCACCAACTTCTTTTTTAACCTGGATAGGAGAAAACAAAAAGAAGTAATTTGTTATGTATTCTGAGTTTCATTTTCCTAGTGTTTTGTGATTTCATTGCCTAGTGAACTAGAGCAGAATTGAATGCCTCCCATTGAATTCTTACTCTAATGTTTTACCATGGTCTTGAGGTGACTCTGGTTTTTAAAGGCTATTATCAGGACCACGCAATCTCTGGCAGGCCCTACTAAGCCCCAAAGTTCCTGAGTACAGGCCCAGTCGTGGAGAAGAGATATGCTGACTAAGGACCAGCCTAGCTAAATTCAGAGATTCAGCATCAGGAGGTTGGCTACCAGGGAATGAACTTTTCTATTTATGGCAACTCGTGAAAACAATTACTATGGCATTGGAGAGGGAATCTGTAGGATCACAAGATCGTAGGTCCAGTGCTGGGCGGCACCTCAGAGGCTATCTAGCATAACCCCTTCATTTTAGAGGAAACTGAGGCCCAAGGAGATAAGGTGACTTGTTTAAGGTCACACATGTAGTCATCATCAGAGGCTGAATACGAACCCATGTTCTGACTCCAGAACTACTGTTCTTTCCACTGAACCATGCTGTTAGCCTGCATTGGTAGAGGAAGTACCCAAAATAGTAAAATCACAGATCCTTGAAATATCACTTAGGAAAGAGCTTGTCAATAGAAAAAATTGCAAAAGACCTCTCTCTACTTTTGTGTTGTAGTAATTTTGTAGTACTCAAATACAAGAGTTAGTAATAAAAAATTATTTAAAAAATAGTTACAAAAAAGAAGTAGAACCTAAGGGCCCTAGCATAAACATATCTCAAACCGTATATAAAGTACTAACTACCCAAACAATTTGGCATAGGTCAGAAAGTAGAAAAAATGATTGATGGAAAAAACTAAGCAAGACCCAGAAGCAATTAAACATAGTAGCCTACTGTTTGATAAACCCAGGAATACAAATACTGGGAAAAGCACTCCCATTTTGACAAGAACTACAGGAAAAGTTAGGAAGCAGTTTTTCAGAAATTAGATTTAGACCAACTTATTACAATATACCCCAATAAGTTCTAGCTGGATCCCAATATCAAATTTAAAAGGTTACAGCAATTTTTTTTTTTAAAGAGGAGGAATGTGAAAGGAGATATCTTTCACAATCAAATACAAGAGTTAGCATGGTATATGTAGGGGATGGAGAACCAGCCTGGAAGTTAAGAAGCCAAGATGTGGGTTCAAATCCTGTTTCTGAGAAATACTATCTATGTGACTGGGAAGACCACCTAATCTCTCAATGTCTCAGGCAACTCTTTAAGGTTATAATTCTACATAAGTTACAGAGAAATTGCTGATTTGATTTGTTGGAAGAGATTCCATGTTGATGAAATTATAGGTCCTGAACTGACACTCTATCATACTCGTCTTCAACAATAACTTATCATACAGTCTTCATCTTGATTGACACTCCATCAAGAAGCTGGAGAAAACTGCAAGTTGAAGACATTCCCTTGTTATCAGAAAGGTCTCCAGTATGAATATAGAGTAGGGCTCTTATGTCTAGTCAGCTCTTCCAACAGGTGCCCTAGAAACAGAGGGTATGTATAGACATGAGTGCCAAGTCAGTCAGGACACAGTTTGGGTGCAGGAGGTATTATGGAAACTAATTGAAATTGCTATTGATCTCATCTATTATTGGAATTCCTGTGCCCTCATAGCATCAGGGTTAAATGAATCGGGGCTGACTCTAAGCTAATTGGGTCTGTGTCCTTTAGTAAATTCAGGAGATTGCATAGTAATGCAAAGATACTTTTATCTCACTGTGCAGCATTCTATTTTATTTCTTTGAGACAAAACTGAAAAAAAAAGAGCATGGAGAATACTTTGATTTGGTGCTGTAGAAAAGAGTTAAGATATATGACTGAATCAAAACTGAAGTGACATTAAGACTGGAAATAACCAGGTCAGTCCATTTGCATTAAGAATTAGAAAGAAGAGGGGCAGCTAGGTGGCACAGTGGAGAGATCTCCGGCTTGGAGTCAGGAGGACCTGAGTTCAAAGCTGGCCTCAGACACTTGATACTTACTAGCTGTGTGACCCTGGGCAAGTCACTTAACCCCAAGTGCCTCACCAAAAAAGAAAAAAAAAGGAGAGAGAATGATACTGTTCCTGGAAAAGCCCTCTGTGGCTAGATATGGTGATGCACACCTATTATCAATTCCTGCTACTACGGAGGATGAGGCTAGTGGATATCTTGAACGAGGGAGTTCTGAGCTGAAGTGGGCTAAGCTGACCAAGTGTCCCCATGATGTCTTGCATCATTATGAGTCCCAGAGGAGTGTGAAGAGAGGCTGCCAGGTTGCTGAAATACGATTGAACTTGCCTGGGTTGGATATGGAGCAGGTTAAACTTCATGTGCTGATCGACAGTGGGATCAGTCCATGAGTAGCCCCTGTACTTCCAGCCTGATGAGAGATGGGGAGACCCAATCTAAGAAAGGAAAGGGAAGGGAAGAAAGGAAATCTTTGTTCCGATCTAGCAAGGGAACCAATGATTACACCTAGATGAGGCCAGGCTTCCTTTTTATGCTGGCAGCAGGGCACTGTGGTAGTTTCACTTGCTGTAATTTAGCACATTTCTAAAAGTTGGATAAATCAATTTCTATGGAAATAAAATTATATGTTGAATGTACCAGGGCAAGTCACGACAAGTGTTTCAGTAATATGAACAGTTCTACCCCAATTCTTCTCTTGTATTAGATTAGATTCAAGATAGGCATCTTTTTCTCCTCCTTCCTACAATGGGGGAGAATTGAGATTAATGTTAAGCAGAATCATGCTGAGGCCCGAACTTCAGAGTTTCCTTCCTTCCTAAGTATCTCAGAGAAAGTAAAAGTGGACAAGTGAACCTACAATGTTCCTAACTAATGATCACATGGCAAAATGCTTTTTGAATGTGATTGAACTCCTTTTACAGGGTGTCATTTGGTGGAAAGTGAACACTATCAAATGTAATTTGAGTTCAGATGTTGCCTTGCATTCATTTCCTCTTCTTCCACTGGCTATGCTGAAAAAAAAAATTCTTACAAGAGTTAGATATAAGGTATACTTACAGGTGAGCAAGGATTTTTCCATCCACATCATTAAGCAGGAATTGGTCTGATTGATTCAAAGAGCTGAAAGGGGCCTTAACAGATGATCTCTTAAAAGTATAAACTTTCATTTCAAAAGGCAAAGTCTAAACTAGTGATGTCAAACTCAAATACAAATGGATTCCTGCAGCTGCATATTGATTTAGAAAAACACAAATTAACATTAACTATGTTGTACTGTATTTTTATTTATTTTGTTAAACATTTCCCAATTAAACTTTAATTTGGTTTGACCTAGGCAGCACACATTTGACACCTCTGATCTAAACTATCCAGGATAGATGGTTGGGACTCTATGGTTAATTTCCAATTTATCCTATGTAGAGAGCTTGGCTAGACATAGTGGTTTTATATGTTGTCTCCCTCATTAGACTGAGCTTCTAGAGAGGAGAGATTATCTTTGTATCTGTAGTGCTTGGCACAGTTCTTGACACATAATAGGTGCTTAATAAATGTTTATTGATTGACTATTTCTATTGAGATGGAGATTAGCATTGATCTTCTCTATGTTTAGAGGATAAAATATTACTGTAATTTTACCTACCCATCATTTATAAGTCATTATTACTCATTCTGAGTTCAATGAAAATGTTTCCTCCTCAATGAAGCTTTCTCTGATCTCTACTCTTTAATGACTTTCTCTTGGAGCTCATATACCACTGTCCTGCACCCTTTCTCTCAACATACTTATCAGGTATTATTATTATTATCTTATCTCTTTATTAGGCTATAAGCTCCATGAAAGCAGGGACCACATCTTAGTATTTGTATCTAGTCAGTTTCTCTGCACACAGTAGATTCTCAGTAAAGATCTGGTGAATCAAATCCTTTGGTTTGATGATGCTATTGACCATATAAAGTTTAGACTGTAAACTCTACTTGATACAAAACTTAAGGGTTTTTCCTCTTCCCCACTACCTAGCACAGTGCTTTGCATCTATTAGGCACTTATTAATTAATTAATGGAATGAAATGTGTCTTTATTGCATGCAAAGAATGTGGTTGCTTGGAAAAGTGTTAAGTCAAGTAAATTTTAAATTGGCTTGCCCAATCATACTTTTCAATAGTTATAAAAAATTATAAAAAGTAGAAATGTTTAAGGATCAAAGATGAAAAAATATGGCACAGACCTGTAAAAATTCTGTCAGGCAAGCTAAAACCCAGAATGAGCTGAGCCAGAACTCTGGGGAAAAGACTGAATAATACATTTCAGGTATGTTAGGAGCAAAGAGCAGGGAGAGATTGACTGCTTAGTAGAAGATGGTATGATTGAAGAGAAGCAGAAACTCAACAGTTATTTGGCTTCTGACTTCTCTGTCAAAGAGAAATCTCTGAAAACTGATGATAGAAGAATGAACAAGGTAAAAACAAAGGTGAGAAAGTAGTGAGGACAAATAATTGCTTTAAATGAACCTCTATCTTTTGGCTTCTATAAATTACTTTCATCACTATGCCAATTGATCTCAGATCTCATCAATGTGGGTACAGACTGTCTCCCATTTGTACCTTCTCATTCTGTCCTCATTCTCATTCAATAACTGGTCAATAAATAATCCTGCAATCTCCTACAGGGGAGCATATACTACATAGTTGAGATCATCTTCTAGGTCTTTTAAGTGTATGTATGCGAGGGTAAAGAAGTAGCTCTTCTGTGCCAGGCACTGTGCTAAGTGTAGCACAAATACCTCATTTGATCCTTACCATGATTTTGGGAGGTAGGTGCTATCATTATCCCCACTTCACAGTTGAGGTAACTGAGGCAGACATAGGTTAAGTGACTTGCCAAAGTCACATAGCTAATAAGGGTCTCTGTGCTAGATGAGCTAGTAAGAGGCAGATTTAAATGCAAGTCTTCCTGACTCTAGGTCCAGA